AGTGAGTTTTGTTTGATTTTGTGACCTTTTTTGCCACATTCATTAAGTGAATCACTATAGTAGTTAAATAAGTAACATGGTTGTTAAGGGAATCTTGCTTGTCAGAAGGTGATCCCATGACCCCGGGACACTGCAACCGTCATAAATGAGTCAATTGGTTGACTTGGCCTTCCATCCTTCCAAGGTTGGTAATACGAAGACCGAGATTGTTGGGGGCCATATGCTGACTGTATAAATCGCTTAAAGAGGGCTGTAAAGCACTGTAAAGCAGTATATAAAATTTAAGTGCTGTTGCCATTATCCTTGCCGAGTGTCTGAATTTTGATTACGTGGCCACGAGGATGCGGCAACGGTCATGAGTGTGAAAAAATGGTCGTAAGTCACTTTTTTCTGTGCCGTTGTAACTTTGAATGATCGCTGAACGAGCTTTTGTAAGTCAGAGACTTACCTGTACAGCTCTTTGCATTGTAAGTTTAGCTTCACTTGCTTATAAAAAATTACTAACCATTATTAATAATTCTGAATGGCAACTTTATTTTCTTTCCTCCCATGTATAGGGTTGAACAGCCTCGCATAACCAAAGACGTAATTTGTTTTCACGCAGACGATTTCTTAGAAGTAGTTCAACGACTGCAGTTAGATTTGCACGAGCCTCCACTTTCCCAGGTAACTGTCTCGATGGCCGGATGACGTTTAAGAATGTTCCGAATCTTTGAAGGGGGGTTCTTTTATTTTCTCTCTTTTTCCTTCTAGTGCGTCCAATGGGTGGACGACGCGAAACTTAACCAGTTACGAAGGGAAGGCATCCGATACGCCAGGATTCAGTTGTACGATAACGATATTTATTTTATCCCACGGAATGTTATACATCAGTTTAAGACGGTTTCAGCGGTGTGCAGTTTGGCGTGGCACGTGCGGCTCAAGCTCTACCACTCGGAGGCCGAAAACCAAACCGCCTGCGACACGGATCCCCCGACCGATGCCACGTCTTCTCTGACGGGACTTCAGACTGTGGGTGCCACCCATCCCGCAGACGTCCACGCCTCCGAAGGAACCAAATTCTTAAGTAGCCTTCAGACGAAATGCGTGAAACAAGAGGTTTTGTGCCCGCCACACGAACCCGATTTATCTCTCCAGAATCCCGAGGAGACCCTTCCCGTCGACCTTCCAGAAAAGATGGCGGCCTCCAGTGCTGCGGAATGTCCGAAAGTGAAAGCGAGACTGGATCACGCATATTTGACAGGGTGGAGACTTGAGACTGACCAGAACCCTGAGCCTGGCCACAAATACTTACAGGACAGCTTGTGCCCCGGGGGTCGTGTGAATCTGAAAGACACGAGACCCAGGAGCTCATCTTACCCAAGTCTGCATGACAAACCAGAAGATGATTTTTTGTGTTAAGTGTGTCTGTGTGTGCGTGCGCGTGGGCGTGGGCGTGCGTATATGTTTTTAAAGTACTTTTAAAATATAATGACGACAATGTAAGGAGGCTTACATTCTGTGAGGCAGGATGTCTTTTCCTGGCCTGCCCTTGCAGTTGTGGCAACATAAAAATAGTACATGTAGCTTTGTAACATTCCTCAGTGCCTGTCCGTAACTGTAAACTGTTTGAAAGCACTTAGGGCCAGATGCACTGTAAACACTGCAGGTATAACATAAAAAAAAGTCTTTAAATATGAGTTGTAGGTTTTAGAATAGAGCTGACATTTAACATATATATTTTTTGTAAGATAAGCCAGAATTCTTTTTGACAATTCCAGGCTTTTCCATAGAGCTTATTTATATCATTTTTTTTTCCTTTTTAAATGTGTCAGCACTGTAGTGTAAATAGCCTTTTTTAAAAAAAAAAAAAACGAACACAAAACAAAAACAAAAAACTTTTTAGTGTGATTTATATTAAAATGTGAGCCGCTTAATAAAGGTTCATAATACTTATTTTTATTTTGGAAAATCTCAATCCTGGTTTAAAAAAAAAAAGGGAAATATTCTTATATTAAAAATGCATAGATGTATTAAGTAAGATAAAATTTGTTGTTGAATTTCCACAAAATCCTATCTGGAGAAGAATAAGAAGGTTCATTTCCTTTTGGTCGGATGCTAGACAGGATGTCAGAATGAAAGCATAACTTTCTTCCTTTTTCCTATCTTACGAACGTTAGACTTCAGCAAGGATTGAACATTTGAGTACTCTTGACTGGCATATCACTAAAGTGGAGTCCTAATGAGTGCAAATCGTAAATAAATACAAAAAAAGAGGGATTAAAAAAAAAGAATACTACTACAATTTGCCAGTTATTTGAACAAAATATATAAATAGACCAGCAGTGATCTACTTAATTCTTTTTCCCCCCCTATCCTTTGGCTGGGCCCTTAATTCTGTAATGGCAACAAGCAGATGACGAAAGAGAGTTTTACGATAAATGTAAGAAAGGGGGGGGGGAGAGCATCTCGTTCCTCATGCGTCTGGCTGAATAAAGTTAGGAACATGCTTAGCTTAATTCCTTCTGTGCCAGAACCTAAACGTTTTCCTTTATGTAACAGAACACAGAAACAGCTGTCTCTTTCTGACCTCTTTTTTTGGCACAAATTATGACTTCCATTATTCCCAGCGGGGAGTATAATATGAAAAAAATATCCATTAAAATATCCACCCGTCTCATCAATTCCATTTTGAGTCTTCAGCTTTGCCATTCAGGTGATGACTATTTTTGCAGCATCACACCCCCCCCCCCCGGGCCCCACAATTCGGTTAAATACGCAATAAAACCTCTCCTGGTCATATCAGTTGAGTATCTTAGCTTGCATAGCTGTAATTGTGGTAATTTTTAGAGACAAGCAAATCATTAGACTTCATTTGCTTGTGGGATTTTATTTTATTTTTTACAACGAGGTTTAATGTGTGGGCCTGAATCCAAAATGCCACAGAAGCTGCTGCCAGAAAAAAAGATTTGAGAATGAGCTAGCCTTCAGTGGGACTAGGGGATCTCTAATTTAAAATTGATCTGTGGTAGGGAATATGTACTGTCCTGTTTCCATACAAAAGAGAGGCAGAGATGCCCTTATTAAAACCAGATGTCATCATTGCTGTGCATTCTAAGCACGGAGAATGATTTCTAGAAGGGGGGTCTCCAACCTTGGCAACTTTTAAGACTTACGGACTTCAATTCCAACTTCCTCACTGGCTGAGGAATTCTGGGAGTTGAAGTCCACAAGTCTTAACAGTTGCCAAGCTTGGAGACCCCTGCACTAGAAGACTCTGAATATAAGAATCAACATGGTTTTCTATACAAAGTGATGCTCACAGCCCTTTCAGATTGCTGATGTCAGCAAACGCCACCATTTTCGTGGGGTTGGGTTGATTTTTTTGTTGTTGTTGGTTCTTTTTCGATAAAACATGTCTTAACAATATCAGGCAGTTCCTGTAAGAGGCTCCTTTTGTGTTTTCCCTTTGAGGTTTATGCAGTGTGCTGAAAATGTTACGAAGCGCTGAAGCCTTTTGTTTAAACCAATTGTTCATCCGAAACTAAGCTGTCATTGGATATTGTAATCTCTTGTCTTTGGTTAGGGCTATTATATCTGGCGTGTGAAAACCTGGATGGCCTCTAGGAGGCAGCAGTGGGTTTTCTAATTCTCTGCTGTCATCTAGTACTTATCTCCCATCTTTGCATCCCAAATATATTAGCCTTAGTCTTCTTGTTCTTTTCTCCAGAAATATGTCCTTTCTAGTCTCCTGCCACTTACCTGCTTTGAATGATGCAACAACAGATAAATGCTACCTTTTTTTTAAAGAAAAAAGTTCTCTGAGCTTCTTCATACCCTCCACCTCACTCTACAATTTAAAAAAAAAAACTATTTTCAGTCTGTATAGTTTAATCTTTCCCAAGTAGGATCTGAATTGTTGGGATTAGATTCGTTATGACACCCTACCCTCCCTCTACATTTTTTAACATACAAGTAGTCCTTGACCTACGACCACAGTTGAGTCCCACATTTTTGTTGCTAAGCGAAACATTTGTTAAATAAGTTTTGCTCCATTTTACAACTTTTCTTCCCACAGTTGTTAAGTGAATCACCACAGTTGTTAAGTTTGTAACACGGTGGTTAAGTGAATCAAGATTCCCCATGGACTTTGCTTGTTGGAAGGTCACAAAACAGGATCACGTGACCTTGGGGCACCGCAACGGTCATAAATATGAGTCAATTGCCAGGTGTCTGGATTTTGATCATGTGACCATGGGGGAGGCTGCAATGGTCATAAGTGTGAAAAACGGTCATAAGTCACTTTTTTCAGTACCGTAATTTTGAACGGCCAGTAAATGAACTGTTGTAAGTTGAGGATCACCTGTATTATGTAGTAGGCAATCATTAGCAATTGGGTTGGCGAGATTTGTGCTTAAAACATATTTTTTTTCCTGATTTTTGAATTTGAGATACGATTATAACAACTCCCTGTTCAGTGAAGTATAGAAAAATATGACTTACTGTTTCTGAAAAACGAAGGATTTTCCACAATTTGTAGTCATGTAATCAACTACAAATTTTGTTTTGAAGTGGAAAATGTTTGTACTATGTATTCTAGGCAACAATGGAGCATTCCAAAACTTCTAATTCATGGATTATGCTTAAAACTTGGTTTAATCATAGTATGCAAATCACGTTTGCTTCGTTGAGAAAGTGATGAATGCTATAGGCACTTCCTGATGGAAGAGTCCTATAACTTATTCACTATTTATACTGAACTAGTCAAGCAAAATTGTAATTCCTCTGAAGAGACCAAGTTGGGAAAATATGTGTGGGGTTATATCTAAACTCTTACTACGAAACTGAATGGCTTTGGTCCAAAAGACAGTTCCTTACTACCTGGTCCCCAGTCAACTAAGCAAGGGAAGGAAATAAAACATATGTCTTACCTTCTAGATTTCTATCAATATAAATTTGCAGAAGCTAGAACAAGCAGGAATCGGATCATGACTGCAATATTCTTCCTGTTAACTGTATGCATCCTTCCAAAAATTCTTCTAACCATATCATTAAAAAAAAAAGCCGCTTTGCTCTCATTGAAAACTAAAACGCTGATGAGTTGCCACATTTTTCCTTCATGGAATACTATCGGTTTACCTTTATTGAGAACAAACAAAAATGTTCTCCTGGTGTTGAAAAATAAGTGAAATAGCACATGAACTCTTTGTTCCATGTCATTGTATGTAAGGCGAGGCTAAATTATGCTGATCTGGCTTAAGCATGGTTTAAATATGGCCACAATGGTGGGATTTGCATTTCGCTAATCTGTACCGAAACAAACCACAGTACAGGTTTAATATGATGTGTGAATACCTGGTGTAAATGGAAGAGGTAAGTAACAATGAGGAAGCAATATATCTTCATGAGTATCTTATTACATAAAGCACTTTAATGTCAATTGCTTTTATTTTCTTCATTGAAAAGGGGGAATATTAGACGATCATTTTTTACACATAGAACTAATTAGTTGTGACATGTAGGTGGATACACACACACACACACACACACACACACAATTTTAATAAATTTAATGAATGAGTTAATGAATTATATTGAATACAAAGATTTCTTGGTGGAACTGGGTTTTTCCATTAAAATGTCTGGATTTTCTAAGACTTCAGAAATGAGCATGAAACGAACTAGCAGAGACTACATACACAAAGAGAGACTTCACTTCCCCAACTCCAAACTCTCTCCATCACCATTTCTATTTTGGTAGTATAACACAAAGGGATTCCGCTAACAAGGCCCATCTTACCCTGGTAACCTGCATCCGTTGATCGGCTTGCCTGCCGCATTGAATGATGGTTTATTCAATAAACTGCAATTGGTTAGGCTAAAATATAAATCCCAATGATACGTTAGTATATATATACGGGGCTCATTACGCTTCAGGACTGATTTAAACTCTAGCATGAGCAAAGGACATCTCAGCTGCTAATTAAAGCAGCCTTTCCTTGGGCTGCTGCGGGAGACTCCAAACCATGCCTGCTTGAATGAATCAACTCATTAAAATGACCTTCAAAAGCAAGCACGTGGCCTGAGGGTGGCCTGACCAAAGTTGTGGCTGCTTTAATGAGCAGGGAAGTCTCATGCTCACGTTTTTAGGTTTTAAGCAGTGCCGTGTCATTTTTAAAGCATCTGCAGTCCTTGTTTTAACATTAAGCTCAAAAGAAAACCACAGGGTGGCTTGATCCTGTCACCCACAGGTGATGTGTAGCGCCACTTTAGAAACTTAAGAAAGCATTTGTTTCCCTCCAGAAAATAAGCCAGTAGCCCTCCTCCTGGATCACTCCCACCCAACCCGTGGTGCAGAAGATCCTGATCTAGGCATAAAAATATTTGGATGCTCATTAGCTGAACACGTGTGACAGTATCTTGAGGCGAGTTGACTGCTCAGGAGTTACTCCTTTATAATTTTGGGGTGCCAAGTTGAAGGCCCGTCTGAGCCTGGTTACTATAAGTAGCCTTATAACTGGGCAGGCCTTCCTTGTGCTCATCGCCAATTTGAAGATCCTCCTAGTGTCTCCAGAATGAACAAGCGGTAATCGGGATGACCTGAATGTCCACGGCTAGTCCTGTGGCAAACAGGATCAGGGTGATGTTGATGTCTATTGCCATTGTTCTTGCTATCTTGAAAGAGGGAAAAGTAGTGTTAGATCCATCCGTTGGTGTTCTTCAACGGGTCAGCTTGGAAAAGGTGGCTGTTTCTTTTGAGCTTGGTGGCGTTTTTTGGGGGGGATTTTAAGGTCCATTCTCTGCAGTTGTCTATGGAGATCATCCAGATTATGGTTGTCCCAAAGGTGCTTCTCCCCCCCCCCCCCCCCCAAAGAGGTAACTGGACTTTCCGGTTTTTCTTGGAAGAGGTTTCACTTCTCATCCCAAGAAGCCTCTTCAGTTCTCTGCAGTTGTAATGCTTTCGTATTTGCTGACACTTATAGTTTTTTGCTTTGAAATCAAGTGGCTCCATGATGAAGCTCTTATGAAGTTGTCTTAAGGGAAGGGTCATATTATACGATTCTGAACTGATCAGCTCCAAAGACGGTTTCCCAACCCTCCAAGCTAACATTCATAATATTCTGCTTATCTTTGATCAGATTCCCAAGTGGTGGGGTTTTTTTTTTGTGATAGATCTATTCATGTCGGCCATCTTTCTCATGATCGATTGCGCGCCAGATTCTGGAGTATTTTTAGCTGAATACATTTTCTTTGGAGGAGGTGATTGTGAATGCTAAGAAGAAATTGGGTGTAAGGCTAGGTTTATGATTGCGATCACAGTCTGGGCACGTGGCATCTTTATAATGGTTTGATACGCCGATTTCAAATTTCTTGACCCTTTTGAGGTAGCGTTTATTGGGTAGCACTTAATCATCTGTTGCACCTTCTAATAAACATAACAGCTGAAGTTAATAACCTGCTTTTGTTTTAGTCCAGCTGTCAAGCCAGTTGTGATCTGTAAGCTGTGGTTTGTGACTCAAACCAGCCAATGGTGGTTTAATAAACCCCTGTATGAGGCAATGGGTAAATGCTGTCAGGAGATTTGGAGGTTTTTTTCCCTGCTCGTGAGAGCTCCCCATTTTGGTAATGAGAATGGAGTGCATTTGAGACACATTCCTGGTACCTCGTAAGCTGAAATATAGACATCCCAATCTTGGAGTTCAACACGGCAATATCTGAGGTTAAAGGTAAAGGATCCCCTCGCACATATGTGGTAGTCGTTCTTGACTCTAAGG